AAAGTTGAAGGGATTTGGTTAAAAGTTGAATGATAGTCCCATGCTGGTCTGTGAAAAGATGCTTTTACCCAAGGATAGTATGCCACAGTAGGAAGAGGTGAGAGGAAAAAGGAGTATTGGATAGATATCAAACTGATAAACTTAAAGGGTAGTGAACATTTACAAATTTCATGTCTGAATATGACTGGAAATACAAATAGGATTGAAGACTTGCTCAATGATAGGGTATAACCTTTATCACTGATAAATGTAATGGATTCTTTGTTAAGGTAAACTGAACTGTGTTATATTTTTACTTTATAGAATCCTGGTGAGATATTCATTCTTTTGAGAGATGAAGTAATTGCTGAAACTGTGGAAGTTGAATTTACATCAAACAATATGCACATTAGAGCACAGCCGGCTCTTTGGAATAAGAAAGTCTGGTATATGAAAGCTTTAGGTAAGAATTTTTATGCTTTAAAAAATATAAAACATCATTTCGAGTTCCTTTCATTAAATTTATGATAAATGGTTTTGCTTCCCTACAGAAACTAATATTTTTCTGCAGGTGTTTCCTGTGTTTAGTTTCACATACCCAAGGTTGTTATTATTAATCTGGATTTGCAAAAGTAAGAATGTGTAAATTATGAGAAATGTGATTGTGTACCATGTAGTAAAATGACATCCAGTAACAGAGCACTTGAATGTACATCAGCTAATAAATTTAGAACAAAAATTATTTATTTTATTGTAACACTCATATTAGCAAATATTTGGGTTTATTAAAATAAATATTCTGTTTTCTTTTCCTTTTTGCATATCCCCTATCACTGCAAGTCTCTGAATATATTTTTGGTTTTCTGGAAAGCATAATTCTTTTTCAGTATTTTCTAATCATGGTTTCTACATATAATCTGTCCATCATTTCTTTATTTCATTTATGAAGCTAAAAATCATTTGATTTCCCAGCTTTGCATACAGCATGATTAATTGTATTAGATATAAAATTCCAGACAGAATACCCATACTTGCCACAACAATTGTAACTAAAATAAAAAATATAATATATAATTTTTGTATGTTTTGTTATGTTAAGACTACTTGTTTTTATTTTACTATATCCTTTTATAATCAAAGAGTAAAATTACTTCACAAAATATTTTGCAATGAAAATATGCTTCACCTTATGAATTTGGAATTGTGATAGAAATATTTAAAGACAAAATGTATGTCAAACATATCTTGAGCTCCTCTTTTGTCCCCTTCAAGAATGTCACTTTTATACGGAACATTTATAGAGCATTTACAGACCTTTATGTGTTTTAGGCAAAAATGTATCTTCTCTGTGGATTTCCTTGTAGAACTTGGGTTGGAGTTGGATTATTAGAAGGAAGGACTTTATACTAGGACTTCATAAACATTTTAGACACTGCTTCTTTTCATGGACAAATATAATTACAAGTGTGATTATAAAGAACCCTTTTTTCTTTCTTTCTTGTCACAAAGCCCCTACTTCTTTAATTCTTTTTTAGGGGGTGGGGACTGGCAATTGAACCCAGGGGAGCATAAGTGCATAACCACTGAGCCACATTCCTAGCCCTTTAATTTTTTTTTTTTTTGAGACAGATTCTCACTAAGTTGCTTAGAGCCTCATTGAATTGCTAAGGCTCATCTTGAACTTGTAATCCTCCTGTCTCTGCCTCTCAAGACACAGGCGTGTTCCACGGTGCTTCGCCTTATATCATATTCTTAGCTGATTTATGAACAATAATTTTTAACTGATTACTTTTAGAGTTTAAATTAAATTTAGTTAGAATAAATTATTGCAGGAAAAAAGTCAATATTGTAAATTAAGAAGTACTTAAATATTTCCCAAGTAAGAGATCAAGATGTCAAATAAAATTATTCACATGACCTAAGTTTTTTTTTGCACAGTGTACCTAATGGCTAAAAGTAGTGTAAAAAGTAAAATGTGCCAAAGTCCCTGAAATAATGAAATTACCAGATGGAACCATAAGGGAAATACTTCAAGAAATTGGGATATGCAAAGATTCTTTGGATAAGATCCCAAAACACAGGCAACAAAAGCAAAACTAGATAAATGGGATTTTATTAACCTAGTAAGCTTCTGCACAGCAAATAGAGTAAAGAAACAACCTAAAGAATGGAGAAAGCATTTTTAAGCTATATATCTGAGAAGGGAATAAGATCTAGAATATGTAAGGAACTCAAACAACAACAAAAATAATCCTATTAAAACTGAAGAAATGGAGCTAGGGATTTGGCTCAGTGGTAGAGTGCTATGCCTAGCATGCATGAGGCCCTGGGTTCAAACCCCAGGCCACACGCATACACACACACACACACACACACACACACACTCTCACACACAAAGACGCAAATAAGAAATGGAGGCAGGGGGAAGGAGATGATATGAGTTTGCAATTTTTAAAAGATGTTACCAATAAGTATATGAAGAATTTTCAACATTATGTCATCAGGGAAATGCAAATCAAACCATGACTTGTCATCTCACCCTAGTTAGAATGTCTATTATCAAAAATACAAAAGATGACCAATGCTGGCAAGGATGTGGAGAAATGGGAGCTCATTACTATTCATGGGAATGAAACTTTGTACAACCATTATGGAAAACAAAATAATGGTTCTTCAAGAAACTGAAGGTAGAATACTACATGATCTAGCAATTCCACTACTGTGTATATTTCCAAAGGAAGTGAAATCATTATGTCAAAGAGATACCTACACTAACATGGCTCCTACAGCACTGTTCACAGTATAGTCAGGATATGGAATCAACTTGGGTACGCATGCGCACGCACATTTGTATGTATGTATGCAATAAAATATTGTTTATTCATTAGAAAAATTGAAACCCTGTCCTTTTAACAAGAATGGACCTGGAGAACAAATGCTAAGTGAAATAAGCAAGTGAAAATGACAAATACCACATATTATAGCTCAATTGTAAAATCTAAAAAAGTTGATCACATAGCAATATAGAATAGAATAAAGGTCAATAGAGGATAGGAAGGATGGGGAGGAGGTGGGATGGAGAAAGGGTAGATAATGGGTACCAAATGCACCTAAGTGAGGAAAAGTAGTTATGATGTTCTTTAGTACAATAGGACAGCTCAAGTC